ATAGATAGATAGATAGATAGATAGATAGATAGATAGATAGATAGATAGATAGATAGATAGATAGATAGATAGATAGATAGATAGATAGGCACAGGAAAAATCTATTAAGAACACGTTTTCTTCATTTTTTTGTTTTAAGATAGATTTACCTAAAAAAAAAAAAGCAGATAGTCTAATATTTTTCCCTTGTTGTACATATGTATGTTACCTTTATTTATCACTTTAATTTTAGAAAATATATTATATATATTGCATAAAGGGAGTGGCTGCCTAGTGTTTACGGCATAGGGCTTTGAATCCTGAGGTTATGAGTTCACTGCCACTCTGGCTCCCTTCACCTCACACTGCTCCCCGGGTGCCGCAGGCCGCTGCTCGCCTAGGGGATGGGTGAAATACAGACAAGCAAGTAATTTCCCTCTGGGATTATTAACGTATGTTAAAAAAAATAATAAAGGGACTCAACACATCCTCTTCTGAAAATCTCATACTTTTCCGAACGAAAACCACCAGAGCGGCCTGTAGTTTCTAGTCTATTTTAGTATGGAGTCTTGGCTCATATTGAGGCTTTTATGACCATGAATATTATTATTGCACAGCCAAAGTCCCTCTATGGCCTATGAATGTGTATTCAAAACATACCAATAATCAATAGGATTACAACTTTGCCTCCATCTAGTGGTCAACAAGACCTACCTCAATTTATTTTTTTGAAAGACATTTCTTGGTAAATCAACTTTATTTATAAGACTTCCAAGTTCATTTGGTCAAATAAAGCCTCGAAAAACAATATAAATTTAGAGAAAGAGTACAGAGGGAAAAACAAGAAAAGAGTCAAAAAGAAACAATATAAATAAAAATTATGGGGAGAGTTAGAAATGTGGTAGATTAGATAGGAAAAATAAAAAGTAAAGTATGGAAAGCATGGACAAACAAAGGATGTCTGAGGGGATCTAGGGAATCAAACAAGAAAAGGAAGAAGAAAGAGATGCAGAAAGGAAGTATTGAGGAATGACACTAAGGAAGACCAAATTTAAAAAAAATAAAGAGCACATACAGCAATAAGTGAAGGAAGGATGGGAATCAATCAGCAATCAGCCTGTAGCACTTCTGAGGTGTTATGGAGGCCCAGGAGGCTTCGATAGCGGCCTTTAGCTCATCAAGAGTGTTGGGTCTTGTGTCTCTCAACTTTCTTTTCACAATATCCTACAGATTCTCTATGGGGTTCAGGTCAGGAGAGTTGGCAGGCTAATTGAGCACAGTGATACCTGGGTCGGTGAAACCATTTACAGTGGTTTTGGCACTGTGATCAGGTGCCAGGCTGTGCTGAAAAATGAAATCTTCATCTCCATAACGCTTTCCAGCAGATGGAAGCATGAAGTGCTCCAAAATCTCCTGATAGCTAGCTGCATTAACAAACACCAGCACCTGACATGGCACCCCAGACAATAACTGACTGTGGGTACTTGACACTGGACTTTCCTTCTCCCCAGTCTTCCTCCAGACTCTGAGCAACAGAGATACTGTGCAACAGTCCAGTGTTGTTTTTCTCTGTAGCCCAGGTCAGGCACCTCTGCTGCTATTTCTGGTTCAAAAGTGGCTTGACCTGGGGAATGCAGCACCTGTAGCCCATTTCCCGAACATATCTGTGTATGGTGGCTCTGGATGTTTCTACATCAGATCCAGTCTACTGATTGCGCAGTTCCCTCAAGGTCTGGGCCGTTCTTCACAATCTTCCTCAGGGTCTGGTCACCTCGTCTCGTTGTGCAGCGTTTTCTGCCACACTTTTTCTTTCCCACAGACTTCCCACTGATTTGCCTTGATGCAGCACTCTGGGAACAGCCTGTTTGTTTAGAAATATCTTTATGTGTCATAACCTCTTGCTTGAGGGTGTCAATAATGGTCTTTTGGACAGCAGTCAGGTCACTGCCGACCTGACCTGATTGGGGTTTTGAGAGATGAACCAGGCTGTGAGTTTTAAAGGCCTCAGGAATCTTTTGTAGGTGTTTAGAGTTAATTTGTTTATTCTGATGATTAGGTGCATTGCTTATTTAAAGACCTTTTTCATGATATGCTACATTTGTGAGATAGGAATTTTGGGTTTTCATGAGCAGTTTGCCAAAATCATCCATATAAAGACAATAAAAGACCTGAATTATTTCAGTTAGGGTACAATGAATCTAAAATATATGAATGGTCAAATTTTACCATTACATTATGGAAAAAAATGAATGTTATCGTAATATATATATAGACTCATCCACACCTGAAAAGGTCTAAAATAACAGTCCTTTTGACTTTAACTGTTTGATCCACATGAGAATGAACACATAGGAATTGGACTTACTCTGGACATACATATTAAAACTTGTTGTTCCTTGTGCTCTCTCCACAATCTAAAACAGCTAAAACAAAATCAGAGCTCAACTTCACATGACTTGACCAGATGGACCTTCACCGGCTGACCTTACAGAGATATTTCAGCACAGGTGCTGCTAAAAACAAGCTTTGACAGATACACTACATTAGGACCTGGAGGCTAAACAGCCAGAATAAGTCGCTTTGAATTATGCTATGTGGTATAGAGTCTCAAAAAAACCCACAGAAAAGAGTAGGTTGGCAAGTACCCTCACTAACCCCACTCCTACCCCACATACACACACACATATTAGCATTCCAAATACATTCTTTCATTGCTGCACATGAAAACACACAAATGCAAAACAATAAGCTTTATAGGAAACTATAATAGGAATTAGCCTACAGTCACCTTAGCTTTATAACTAATCGCCATTTAGCCATAAATCCCCCATTTATTATGTGCATTAGACTCATCTGTTAGAATAGATAGTCCCTTTAACTCTCATTGTTCATCCTCCTCTGGTTTGTTTCACAATGTGCATTCAGGCATTTTAGCTTCCTCCCATTGCTATTGATCAAATCTTGCACCTTATCTTGTAAAGCTAAATTTCACACAAGCCCACATGCTACACTAAAACTCACCTCATTAATAGGTGTCAAAAGTCAGCCGTCCATTGCAACATTACATCGTTATACACTAAGTATTTACTACATCATGCATTTCCTGGCAAGCCATAAGGAGCATATAACTCATAGATATAGGTAAACACTGTCAAGCTGTTGTGCTTTGCAGCCCTGAGCTTGCCAGAAAAAAAGGTTGGGACTTGCACATGAGTCCTGTGGTTTCCTTTTAGGTGTATATTCTCTCTTTTACATTGTTTAGACCCATTTACACATTGCAGATAACATTTATTTATAGACACACATTGTGGGCTAGTGGCGTTTCTTAACAACCACTGTGTATTTGAAGGCAATCTAACTGTTTTAGAAATGTCTTAGTTATAAATGCACTCGATTCTATGTTGAATTTAAGCCATATTTCAGCATTAAACCATAGTGCAACTGCCACAATGATTGCTGAAAGGGTAAACCGAACTGAAAGTTAATTAAAAAGCACATGGGCATTTTACTCTATGTACCATCATATCATAAATTGTACCAATGACATAACTTACAAGCTAGGAAAAAAACTCTTACTGGTCACTTTATAAGGGACACCTTGGACCATTTTGACTTCAGAACTGCATTGATACTTCATATAAAATTATAAGCAGTTTAAGTATTTTCTGCACCATAAGGCGCACCAGATTATAAGGTGCACCTTCAATGAATTGTGTATTTAAATTTTCTTTCATTTATAAGGTGCACCGCACTATAAGGCGCAGAATAAAATAGAATAGAATAGAATAGAAGCTACAGTAGTGGCTGGGGTTGTGTTATGCATCCACTAGATGCAGCTGCGCTAAAGAGGATGTCAATAAAACCGTCAGATAAGTAAGTCGAACTTTTTTAATATATTAAAGTATTTACAATATGACCAACCTTCTTCAGCTGTAAACACACAAAAGAAACACATCAATTTCAACTTCTCTGTGAATTTTTCATCAACAAAGGCCTCAAGTTCTTCTTCTTCTGTGCCCAAATTGAACTGTTGGGCTTATATGGGATCCAACATGCCCGGCTCCGTCTTGTCAAAGTCGTTATTATTTGAGTCAATGTCGCTGCTGTCTGGCAGTTCAGTAACAATTCCTGCCTTCCTGAAAGCTCAGACCATGGTTGAGATTGATATATCAGCCCAGGCATTCACGATCCACTTGCAGATAGTGGTGTACGTTGTTCGCGGCTGTCTCCGGTGTTGCTGTGTTCGCCTTCTGTCATCCACTGCTCCCACACAGTTAGCAATCTGTCTTTGAATGCCCTGTTGACACCAATATCTAGTGGCTGAAGTTCTTTTTTGTTAATCCACCCGGAATGGCGGCAAGCACTGAATTAGTGGACTTCACTTGTTTCCATGATATGGGAACGTATCAAGTCATATATCAAGAGGGATGGAGCTGTGTGAAAGCTGTGGGTTGGTTGGGGCTTTGGCCAAACCAATATACATGTTGCCCACATGTGTCATTGTATTAAGTCAGTTTTCCTTGGTTAAGTTTGCTTT